TTAGAATCTACACTACCCAAGGATGCTTTCACATATTAAGTTTCAGCTTTTCTGGTCTAGTGGTTCTTGAGAAGAAATTTTTTATGACCCGACCCTATTTTTTTCTTTTCTTGATTATCTCTCCTTGTGAGGGGACTTTGCCCTACAATTTGACAATTTAATTTTCTCATTACCCAAGGATGCTTTGTATTAAGTTTGGTCGAAATTGGCCCAGTGGTTCTTGAAAAAATGTCGGAAATGTGAATTGTTTACAGACGGATGGAGGGACAACGGGAAAATATGATCAGAAAAGCTCACTTGAGCCTTCGGCTCAGGTGAGCTAAAACAATATACAAATTAAAATCACTTCTTTCGTCTATGAGTCAAACAAGTGTTCATGTTGTATACAATACTACATATAACATTGTTGAATGTACTATTTATCATTGTGTATTATATTTGTATTTTTATAGAGGGCCTCAAGGAAGAATAGTGCTCGCACTAATTGATTCACCCTCTTTAAATAAAATATTATTATTATTATTATTATTATCAACACGTTGAGGGATAATGTCATAACCTAATTTAAAACACTAATTTAAAAGTTAAGTAATGGATATATGCCGAATACTGTTCTATATGTAAAATTATCAGACTGTTTGAGGCCCGTTAGGGCCGAAAACTGTCTAATAATTTTACATATAGAATAGCATGAGGCATATATCTTACTTAAAACATTGCCATTTAAATGTCCAGAAGTTACCTGGAGGAGTCCGATAATAACACAATGGGAGTTTAGGCATCCATTGTTTCTACCCGTCTGATAAGTAGATAAAAGAAATGAGTGAACGGTAAAAAAAGTGAGTGAACTCTTGTTTCATTAATTTCATTCATTCAATGGCAGTCGTTTCGTTTAGCAGGACAGGGGTACGGTGGTGAAAGATTTTTAGGGGGAACATTTTTATTTATGATGTGCATAAATTAACATTGATACTGATATAATTTTGGGTGATATTTTAACCATCACCATGGCAAGTCAAATGCAGATTTTTACCGTAGCTGATTTTTTAGCTTAGAAACTGGAAATTCTCAGGTTTTGAAAGTGTGGCCGTCAGGGAACAAACATGAAAGGAGATTGCAGAATTTTTTTTCAAAAATGGATTTAAATTCGCTTATTCAAAGTGCTGAATCAAAAACTCTTTTAAAGAGTGAAAATTAATGTTGTGGAAGGTTTAAACTCGGATTTCTTTTCATGGATTTGCTATTTTGTATTGTGATCAACTTAATTCCCTTGCGTTTGGTTTCCCTGAATTTTTTTCCTAACATTTTTATTGGGGGTTTCTGGACATATTAAATTTTAATTTTACTCTTCTTTTTGTTTTTTAAATACCGTCCGATTTTGTATCATTGCCGTCCGATAATATATTATCAGACTGGTAATTTTTATTATCGGACGGCTACAGGTAAATTTTTAGACTGCAAGAACAAAGGCTTGACGTCACAGCAATGTTTTAAGAGTTAAAGATTCTTCGATAATCTTTTAACAGCCCGTTACCCACGAATGCTTTACACTTTTTTAGTTAAACTCCGCAAAATGATCCTTGAGAAGAAACTAAATGAGTTAAAAAGATCACAGACGAACAGACAGGCGGACGGTCGACGGCAAAGAGGTAGTCAGAAAAACGCAACTTTCAAGTCAGTTGAGCTAATTTCATTTGGAAAATTTCGCACTAAATAGTACACCGCATATTTGAGTTAATTTCACAATATGCGCCTTATCAAAGCTTTACCATCTTATGTGTCATCATTCTCCTCCTATTAAGTGAAAATCTGATAAAAGAGTTGAAGGTGAACACGACTCGTAAATAGGCATACGCCATTTTCGATATCGTTATCTACGATACATCAACACTAGGGTATACTCGTCGCATTCGTTACACCTGACTGCTTTATTGTCATGTTAATCGTCGTGGAATGGCGACCCGTGTTCGTGCTGGTTATCTTGCATAACCGTTGTTTACATTTTATTGCAGCTATGCGTATCAGTGTTGTTTGTATACTGCACTGACCTGTACAACTATCATTGTAAATCTATTTGGTATCTTGCTTTCCTGCATAAGACGACATAGTACGTCATTTTTCTCGCTACCAAGTCATGTACAGCATACGTCCGTCTACTCCGGTGTCGACTGATTACAATGAACATTGACAAAGTTCAACCTTTTATATACGTGTCTGCAGAGTAGCGAGAATTGAGAACAAAAATGGCGAACACATATATACCTTTTACGAATCGTATTCAGCTATAAGTCGCTATTTATTCATCCATACATTATCGGTACCTGGTCACGATGTTTACGAGTTTTCTCCCCTTTTATGTGCATCAATGAAAGTGAAATTATCTGATTTAATTCTTGTATTATAAAATATTCCATAAAAATGTACGGTTTTTTAAATTAAATTACACTCGAAAAAAGTAACTTGAAATTTGAATTGTTGACTTTAATATTGCTCAATGACAAATTTTTAATGGGATTGAAATAGATCGATTTGTTTCACACTCTTCCTGAATTGGAACATGTCAAATGGTCAAATGGATATTTTTTTTTAAAAAATATGGTAATTACCTTCTAAGCAGATTAGGAAAGAAGAAAAGGTTATTTAGTTGAGTAATCGTAAAAAATGAAGTAACTTGTGCTATTTTCGGTGCATTTTATTCAAGTTCAAAGAGTTTCGTATGTATATTTATTATGTTCTTTGATTACTGTTCATATGTATGGACAGAAAAGGTCCAAATCTTTGGGAAAAACCTTAAAGTTATTCAAAATAAAACAAAAAGGTTTTTTTTTAATCATAAGCCTAGAGCTAGGATCGATTGAGATATTCTAGATAAAATAAACACAATTTTTTTTCAGATTGTAATAAATAGTTAAGTCTTAACCATGTCTTCGATATCAATCAGAACATGCACTAAATTATCTATATAAGAACTGTTCCAGTTTTACAATGCTTTTAGGAAAGCATCGATTTTAAATTATCATGTACCCAGGGTCGGAACATAAAAAGTTTAAACTGGAAATCTATTCCTTTGCAAATGAAAACTATAGCTAGAAAAGCTAGTTTTAAATCATACGTCAAGTTGCATCTAAAACACGAAGCTCGTGAAGGGAAGAAAGTATTCATATACAATATTTCTTTGAGGTTGTGATACATTATTGTAAATAAATGTACTTTATATTAACCTTACAATTTGAACAGTGCATGTATTTGTGTAATTTTGTGTGATGAAGTTGAATTAAGTTTTTTTTCCTGCAATTTTTATATCTTTTTTTGTGTGTAAATAGACTAATTATATCCCGAATTTGGTTCCGTAGTTGAGAGTGTTCGAAATAAAGCTATCTTTTGTATAACAGGTTTGGTCAGGGAGAGTCGTGGCTGTTTGTCAAGAGTGTGGCTACGTCTTTTGTCGTTAGGTCGACGCGTACGTTTCATGGCGAATTCCAGAAGTTGGTCTGGTACACGGGTAGCCAGGAAGTCGGTAATTTTCTTCATGTGCATTTCTTTTTCCAGCCGGTAGGCTATTTACTTTTGTAAATATTTTTCGGGTTTAGTAGTAAGGTTACGGATGTAATGTCTGCATTTAATGCAGTTTGCAGTTTGAGTTGTGTATGAGTTTTAGATTAAGAAATTATTGTTTCAGTGCGGAGGGGTTATGAGTATAAACCCAGGGCTGAAGTGGTTTTTAGGATCTCAGGAGGGCATTTAAGTCATTGGTCGAGACGGGGGCCAAAACAAGTTGACGACGTAGATCGTGGTGCAAACAGACAGCGTGTGTGTAGTGGAATTGGTGACAGTTATGGCAGTATAGAGGGGAGTGAATTTTAGTGTTATACAGTGGGAGACCTGTGAGTCCATGACTGGAACTAGAGGGACGCAGTGTTCGTAGTATGGGGGCCCAGTGGTGTTATCGTTGATGTAACTTTTTTTCTACGAAGTTTAATAGCCAAACTTCCAATTCAGTTTAAAAGAAATTAAACATCGAATAGTTCATTTAGTGATAAGATCTGAACAATTCCCTAGAAAACGCTGTGGATCGACTAATCGCCGTGCGTTAGATTTTTGAGCTACACGTAATCCCTCGGTCAAAAGCTAGTCATGCTAATTCGCGGTTATATATTTTCATTTTGACGTCATAAAAGAACGACACAAAAACACAATGCTTCGTGACGTATTTCATATAACAAAATGCAAGAAAATAAGATGTAAACAATAAAATAGAATGATTGCATTAGAATTATGGAATAACTGTCTTTTAATTTGGTATTTGCGATTAATAATGATAAGTTAATCTATAAGTGAATATTTCTTTTTAAAAGGCGATCTTTACAATTTCAATTTGTATCGCCTACGCCTCGGGAAATAGTCCTTGTCTTGGGAAACTGGAATCTTGCTAACTCCCTCAATGATATACTTTAACTGTATAATAACAAGAAAACTAACTCGTTATGATGTGATAACTAATTCGTTATAACAAGATAATTAGCTCGATATAACGAGAAAGCTAACTCAATATAACGAGAAAGCTAACTCCTTAAAATAAGAAAACTAACTCTTTATGACGAGATAACTAACTCGTTAAAACAAGATAATTAACTCGATATAACGAGAAAAATAACTCAGTGTAACGAGATTACTAACTCGTTATAATGAGATACTAACTCGATATAACATGATAATTTACTCGTTAAAACGAGAGACTAACTGATTATAACGAGATATTATATCGTTATAACTAGTTAAATGTTTTTTTTTATCTTTTCAGAAATAAGGCTATTCGGATTTCGTAGGCATCCTTGGGTGAATATTGCAAAGGAAAATACACAACTATACACGATATCCCGCACGTCACATCTTACATGGCACAGCGTTTGCAAAACATACGAAGGTATGTTAAGGCAGCACACAGATCAGCATTCGGCGAATTAACACTTTCTTGTGATGCAGGGGAAAAATAGTCATACCTTTTTTCTTGGGATATTCTCTGTATCTGACTTCTTTTTCAGGAAATATTCCATATGCAGCAATGTAATCCAGATTTCTTCGAGGTCCCACATCAAAGCTTAAAAAAAGAAAAAAAAAGTAGAAACAGTATACACTTATCCACTGGTTGTGAGTAGGATAGCTCTTTTATCAAACCTGCAGCAGGGAACTATTCCCCGAGGGCTTGCCCGAGGGGAATAGTTCCTGCCAAGGGTTCGATAAAAGAGCTATTCCACTCACAACCAGTGGGTAAATGTTTTATTATACTGATGTATAATACAGTTTTTGAGATTTGATTTTTTTTTTTTTTTAGTAAGATAACACTACATGAATAATCTGACATTATGATGACGTAACAATGCTACTGAAGTCATTTTGACATCATCAGTCAATAGACTTATCGCTGGACATCAAACTTGGTTGCAAAAATTGGATGAAAATTTTCCGAGGGTGGATAGCAAAAACTATACCCAGGGGTATATCTTTGCTATGCGTGGACTATCAAAGATAGCTATTTTACATTCTTTACTTTAAATAGGAAACATTTTAACAGAAGTATAATAATATAAAATTTATTTATCGCATATACATGACAAATAGTATGTACATAAACAATAGAATGCACACATTGGTATCAAACATACGGATATAACGAACAGTTTTCATGATCTGAAATCCATAAAACACCTCAAAATAGGAGCAGAGCAAACACAAAGCTCCAAACATCAGAGATGGGACAAGGTACCATGAAGGAGTTAGATTCCTCGGCCAACCGGTCACACCCGCCTTGTTACACTTTGTCAAATGTTTCATCACCTTATTTGTCAATAGTTTACCTCATTTTGGAAATAATTCATACGTAGAGCATGCTCTTGCGTATCAAATCAACTGAGATGTGTAATATCCGTTTAAAGTAAATGAAGGTATATTGCTGCATAAGTGAAAACGTTGACGATTGTAAAAGTAATGTCATCACGTTGACCACAGTGTTTGGGTGTTAAATATCTTTTTATTGTAAAATATCAAGATATGAAACAAATGTCAGATTCTTTGGTATCTTTTATCTAAAGCGCACTGGGAGATACCGTTTTAACATAAGAATTGAAAATAAAAACATAAAATGACAATATGTCGTCGATCTATCGATATTGGACGTCGACATATGTGGAGTTGAAGGCCACAGCAAGTGTTTTCCTCTTTTCAAGCATAAGATTTAGCACACATTCTGCTTAATATGAATATACAAATTGGTCTGATAATAATCGGATACAATTGATACCTATGGGAATTCCATTATATTGTTTGAAAATTTTGTCCCCAAAAGCCATGTACATATCCCCAATCAGAAACTTTTGGTGTCAACATCAAGATACTTGTGTGAACAATTAGAACGTTTCTAACAAAATATTTTGCAAATGACCAATGGTAAGATAAGTAAATTTATTTTTATTTTTATTTTAAAAAAGAAGCTGTCAATGTTATCTTTGCTTGAAAATCCTTTTTGATTCCTTGATAACAGAATATAGGCTCTGATCTGCGATTTTGGATATTACAAATCACCCTTAACAAAACAAAATACCATAGTAATATATAGTTATATAGCTATATTTTACTAAAGTAAATCAAATTTCAAAAGTTTTACTCTAGTAAATCAAAATTCCAAAGTCTACACCATATTAAATCAAAGTTCCAATGTTTTCACCATAGTGGATCAAAGTTTTTATTTAAAAAAAAAAAATTAACAACTTATGAACTGTGTACACTAATTTTTTTTTTCAGCACTTTGATTACTTAATTCTTTTAAGGTAGTTGATCTTGGGTACATTTAGATGGGACTGGGTTTTTTTGTCTCCTCAATTTGAATATACAAAGTAATTAATTAAAATGTCTTACATACATTTAACATTAGGGAAAAACATGTTGACTTAAGTAGTTGAAGCAAATATTTTGATTCTAAATGACACAAATTTTATTTTATAGTATATCAATTTTTTCTCCAATTAGTAATACTCACGATTCATCTGCATGAAATTAAAATTAAATAGATGTTTAAAAATATTGCTTAATTATCGGCATAAGAGACAACTTTTACATTTAAATTAATGTCTTTTATATTTTTCTTTTGGAGGGGGGGGGGGTCAGGTTTTAAAAAAAAATCTTCAAAGTTTTAATCACTCTTAAGTAATGTTGAAATTTCATACAATGTACATAATGGGAAGCAAAAACGGGAAGTTCTACTTACCAACATGAAAGTGTTATTTTCTTTTCTTTATCGTGTTTTATACAAAAATGACTAAAATAAACACAAACTCCCAGCAAAATTAAGTTAAACTACATACTTCCATTTTAGATTCAAACAAAATATCTTTAACTTGTCTTTGTTTATCTCTGGTATCAGTCCAATATAAACACGTATTATACATTCTAATTCTGTCTACGGTCAGCCAATAGACCGCTCGTTCAATTCAAACATTTTTTTTTTGCTATTGTTGGATTATGTGCATATCATGCAAGCGAGGGAATTAGGGATATTTAAATTTCAAATGTTCAACATAATAACAGCAGATACGAGCTTATAAAAATTCCTACCATTTGATAAAAACAATATCGCCCCAAAAGAAATCTACATGCCATGTAAAATATTATGACACTTTTCCCGTCATGTCACATCAAGTATGCAGTGTATGGACGTCATATCTGGGAAGTTAGAAGCTACTACAGTTTGAAAAGTTGGATATTTTAAGGGCAGCCTTATCCTAGTCTTCTTTGAGAAACATTTTGAGTCTTTGGTCTGGTCTTTAGAATGAAAAACACAAAGACCCATTAGGTAATATTCCATTCTAAATATTACGATGTACTACAGTGTCATTCAATCTTAAGATGTAAAACAATGTGCTCAGAAATCTATATTATTGATGTTGTTTTGTACCCTATATAAATAATAAACATTACTTGATACGTTCTTGTTAACATTTTGCACACAACTATAATTTCTATTCCAATTTTTTTATGTTTGTCGAAAACGCAATATGTAGGTATGTGGAAAGAGTGGAGATCACATGCCGTTAAATCCAAGCATATTGCAGCATCATAGACCAATAATTTTTTTTAGGAGACAACTGACCTGAAACTCTTTGCAGGCAAATATATCAATATGCTTAATTTCATCTAAATTTTCTGGACTGGCGAAAGGTTGAAAAAAATTAACAATAGTCTAAACCAGGTTCATCAATTCCCTAAAATATCAAATTATCAGTAAGTAGTATGCTTCATTTTAAAAATTATTCGAACAAGCTCTTGATTAAAGAATAAATTGAGAGACAAAAAAAACCATAAGCAGGTGATAATAGTGTTATTGAAAAATAACTTCAAATATGAAGTACAATGACGATAGAACAGCTAGTGCTGGATACGGGTAAAAATTTACAGACCTCCATAACAAATATCGGCGTTTTCTTTAGAGTTAAATATTCTTAAGATGGATGCAAAACATCAAACAAACAAACATTTATATGTTGTTAGTCATCCTTTATAGTAAATATTCAGATAACTATCCCATATGAAAGAGATGTTGTAATCCCTGTGTTTTAGTACAAGTTCACTTTGATAAAAAAAATATGATAAAGAGAATAATTTATCAATTATAAGGACTATAACTACTCTAATTCCTACAAACATTAGAAAAGAAATGAATATTTACCCCAACGAATCATCGTCCAATAGTCTTTGAAAAGAATGATTTTTACATTCTTTGTTTCCTTTTTTAGACATGTAACATAATGTACATAAATCGATGTCATTACATTCTAGGCATCTCCACTTTATTCCTTGTATGGGAAACGTATCACATGATTTGCAGGTATAATATCTATGAATTGCACCTTATAAAAAAAAAATAAAAGTATATTGAAATTTCCAAAAATATACATTTTTGAAAAACCTTTGCCGTAAATAATACGTTATGTATAGGATATGGGAAAAAAACTGTACCCTTTAAATAAGTGTTCCTTTGTTGTGTCCAGTAAGAATTTTCAGAACAAGAAAAATTTTATCCATAAAATGTTAAGATGACGAAGAGTAATCAATCCTGAAATCGACATAAAAGAATTCGGAGTTTGGTGAGATGCTAGTGAGAAGTAGGCATCCCCTATCAATTTCTTTTTATCATGAACACATGTATGTTATCGGATGAGTTCATGGAAATAAATGTTTAACAACTGGATATAATTTTGCATTTTTTTCTCATCTCACTTGTGTCTTTTTCGTTATTAAGACCAAAAAATTTGAAACAGAGAACGCTGAAAAACTTGATGATTGAACAGAAGTACGGAGGAATATGCACCCCTTGAAAATCCGACTCACAAAAGGGCGAACATTTAGTTTTTATCATCTTATCGGAGCATTTAAATGATCACAAATGTTTGATAACTGTCGACTAAGGTACTCATTGCAATAATTTATAAATATTGTAATAGGATTATAAATTTTCTATATTTTCTTACTTCTAGGGGCCTGGTAATAACACATCAAAGTCTCTTTTTATGTTTGAATTCTTATTTAAATAATTTTTCTGTTATAAATCAATTAGAAATACGTTACCTGATTGTGCATTATCGAACAGGCGAAGCTCGTATATGCCATCTTTCCCAGTTTTGTATTGGTGTACTTCATCTTGACTGTCCCATTGTACCTGAACTTCCTCGTCATTCTTAATACTGCACACAGTACCAACATTCCCAATGCCACCGTCATCTTCATTATTTTTAGGCCAATCCTTTCCTCGTACAACTCGCTGTCCAACCTTGACTTTATCTTAAAGTAGATTTCATATTAGATTTATCATAATACATTCTGAAAGACTAGTATTTCAGCTCTAATTTTACTCCTCTGATATATAATACCAAAAAAGAGAACATACACATGCTTTTAAGGTAAAAAAAAGTTTTATGAAGACACAACCTATGTTTCAAGTAATAAATATTTAAATATAGGTAACTTTTGTACAGTTTTTGCAATTATCTGTACCTATGAAGAACAATATATTTTTTTCAGCTTATATAACGACAAGATTAAAGAATTTTATCTTACAGATCTAGAGTCCTTCTTGTATAGATTACAATGTATTTTTTTCACGGTTGAAAGGCCAAGGACATTGCTTAATATGTCAAAATGCATATACGGTTTGCATGTTTGTAATGTTTGTGTATCAGCTAATTGCTAAAGTAGGGGGTTTTAGTAATAAATGCTTAATAAATCCAATTTATTATGGCAAAAAATATCATGCATTTTATTTTTGTAGAGTACTGATTAAAAAGTAGAAAAAGAAAAAAAAGATCAAAACTCTTTCAGACACAATACTGAATCTGAAGAACTTTTTTCCAGCATTAAACTTGTGTGCTCTTATTTAATATTTTATATAATTTTTGGAATATATTTCCATCTCTTTTAGATTTCAGAACTGTTTACGAAGAATTTGAAGTATAATCTAATCTTTGTTTCTTTTGTAGTATAGAGATCACTGTATAAAATGATCCGTTGATGATATATTTATTTCGTCAAAGAAGTGGATGGAAATATGTCTGTCCTAACAACAAAAGCATAGTTAACTATACTTTACAATTTTTTATTATATTTAACTATAGTTAACACTATAACTTACTATAGTTTACTATAGTTAATTGTGATTTACTATAGTTAACTATAGGAAATCAAAATTTTTTAGAGTGTCAAAGTTTTCGCCAAAGTTTTTTCAAAGTGTCAAAGTTTTCATCAAAGTTTTTCAGAGTGTCAAAGTTTTCGCTAAAGTTTTTTCAAAGTGTCAAAGTTTTCGCCAAAGTTTTCGTCATTTTTTTTTCAAAGTGTCAAAATTTTCGCCAAAGTTTTTCAAAGTGTCATAGTTTTCGTCAAAGTTTTTCAAAGTGTCATTTTTTTTGCCAAAGTTTGTCAAAGTTTTCGCCAAAGTTTTTCAAAGTGTCAAAGTTTTCGTCAAAATTTTTCAAAGTGTCAAAGTTTTCGTCAAAGTTTTTCAAGGTGTCAATGTTATCACTATAGTAAAACAAAGTTTTCAAAGTGTCAAAATTATAACTTTAGTTAACATTAGTAAACTATAGTTAACTATTGTATTTTTTGTTAAGGTGAGGGCTGTTTTTTTTTCTTCAAAATTGAGCATTGCATTTTCGTTGTTTAAGAAGACAGAATGTTTTGAGTTATTTTCTGAGTTATATAATTTGGCTTTAATTATATAAAAGTCAAGATTTAAGATATTTTTTTTATCAATATCTATCCCGAGTGTATAGATATATCCTTTAATGAAAATTATCTAAGAGGAAATATGTTTAATACCCCCTTCGTAAATGCTTTGGATTGGTACTCCGAAAAACGTCTCATCGGGGTAAATATGTGAAGGAACATGTTGGGAACTTTCACGAATCTATAAAAAACATACATAATTTCAATACATGTGCATGATGAACAATAAGATGAGATACATGTATTAAGATTACGATCAAATTCAAACTAAAAAGTCAATTCAGTCCATAGAATTCAAGAAAAGAGCAAACACCTGATGTGGGATCGAGCGTTATGAAGGACTGACTATCCTTTGCCGATGAGTTAAAACCCTGCAAGAAGGTTAAGGCTTCTAAAAGCTTAATATGTCTCATGCATTAGATACATTATATGTAATTTCGAATTCGGTTTTGATTTTAGTTTGTTCGGTTTTAGAGGTACAACCAATATGCTAGGAGAATTTTATTATGTGTTATAGGACAGCATTTTGTTTTGTCACATGGCTGTTTATGGGTACTTGCAATTTTTACATAATATTTTTAATATTTTTACCTTTTTGCAAATTAAAATTTTATTTAGAATACTTTTTTTTCAAATACGTCTTTTGCAGCACTTTTACGATCATCTCGGGGATAAAAACGGGACTTTTCTGTATGCTTAACAATCTATATTAAAATGTCATTTTCGGAGTTACTAGGTCACAAAAATTATAAAGTGACATTACAATATGTGTATATTTTTCTGAGCTTTCCAAAGATATTACATTCAAGAATTTCAGTGAAAAGGTTAATTTGTAATTTAACAGTTGTCAGAACTTTTGAAATGCCCCTCGTAATGAGCCTTTTGATATATCAAAACTCTAGAAAAAGAAACTTTTTAAAGCATACTTTTTTCCATTTTAAAACCCGATTTTTGATCAAGAAGAACGAAAAATGATTTTGAGAAAAACATTCAAGATAGACATAAAATAGTTTTGCAGTAGATGTCATCTCACATTTTCGTGACAAGTCATGCTCATATGCGTCTGCAGACTGAAACTGGTGATTATTTCATTAATCACGATGGATTCATGTTCCCATGGTTACCGACATAACCAATATAACCGAGAAATCTATTTCAATTCCTCCGTTTAGATTTGTACAGGGACAGAGATTATCTAGCCATAGTAGGTTTGATAAGTTTTATTAGTAAAATATATTTTTTAAAAATATAGGGGATAGTTAAGCACACAAATCTCACGTATTTTTAGTAGGGGTGGGGTCAAATAAATTCTAAAAGAAGTGAAGTCTCAAAATTCCGTTGACAAGCAAAAAAATAAATAAATAAGTTATTAAAATGAAGAAAAAATACCTAAAACAAACTAAGAGGCCGATCGACCTTAACACTTACCTGTGTAACTTTATCTATTCAGATTCTCCCTAACGTAATACCAAATGGGGCCAAAAACCCTACCCCCAGGGGGGTCATGTTTTTAACAATTCAGAATCATAACTACTCCAAGATGCTTCCATGAAACGTATGGAGATAAGGAAGCGTATTCAAGATCAAAAGTCCATAAAACAACACAATACAGCAGCTGAGCAAACACAACCCAGGAACGCTTTCATATACATTTCAGATTTTTTCTTCGCGGACATTCATGTTAAGCTAACAACCAAGCTCTATGACTAACATGATGACTTTTACTTTTCTATTGTCAACTTCCCTTACGTATCCAACAATATACCATCATCATCTGCATACGGAATTTATCCATCTCAGTTTATTCGATATGCAAGAGCATGCTCTCCTTATGAACAATTTCTAAAACGAGGTGAATTATTGACAAACAAGTTGAAGAAACAACAGTATCAGCAGTCTCGTTTAAAGTTATCATTATGCAAGTTCTTTGGTCGACACAATGACCTTGTCAGCAAATACAATTTTTCATTATTATATCATCTTTCCATTATTTATACACTGAATTGACGACAGATAATTTCCTGATCATGACAAGGAGCACACAGCAGACGTGACCGGTCGGCAGGGGATACTCACTCATCCATGGTACATGATCCCACCTCCAATCTTTTGGAGGTCCGTGTTTGGTTTGCGTGTTTGCTTTGTTCCTTTTGTATGTATTTTGTATTGTTTTATGAACTTTGATATTGAATACTACACCTTATCGCCATTTTTTATCATTTACAATTTGATTTCACAATAAAACATAATTATAAGGAATTATTTCTAGTTTGTTGGTTATGTCAGGGTCATCAACGACAGTTGGAAACGTGAGATCATCTATGCACAACAGGCTGGACCAAATTATCGCAAATTAAGTAACGTTTCCAATTATTGCTGTAGCCTTGGCATATCCAACACACTAAAGAGTGATTTCTCACGAATTACCTCGTCATGAATGTCCAATTCTGAGCCAAAGAAATTGTCATGTTTCTCGAACCATTTTTCCTAAAAAATGAAAATATGCATATTTTACCCTGGTTAATGGGACAGGACTGGTAAGTTTTATTTATCAGCATTTTTTTTCATTGGGAATAAATGAATATTTTATTTTCCTCATTTTTATCCCCCCCCCCCACCACAAGAACAATTATAACAGTACATCATTCAATATTTCATATTTTACATTATCAGTATATAGAACTAGAGGTACTGTGAGCAATGAGCTCACTAAATGATACCCCCCGCCTCCCATAATGTCCATGTTTTGCTTTATATTATTTTACGGTAATGTGTAAAGAGGAATAACTCGTCATATCAAATGTTATCCAGAAGCTTCTTTATGTGACGTCTTAGGTAAGCATATAATGGCAACGTCCATGTTTTGCTATGGGACACCTAAAATACGTGTCGAATAAAAAAATAAAATAAGAGGTGCACAATGGCAATATGTAATAAAGATTCTGTGAAAGTTTCATTAAATTTCACTCAGTAGTATAAGAGGAGTTGCGGATAAGAGATGGGTACCCCAAAGCGTAACAAACGAACGGACAGACGGACGGACGGAAATACCGATTACTATATACCCTCTTACTTTTCAGTCGGGTGTATAAAAATAAAAGATATGTACTTTACGTTGTCTTGTGAATGAAAATCTTTTCTTTTGAAAACTATATTTAAACATACTAACTTTTCAAATCTTAAGATGTCATGACATGCAGTTTGTGTTTATTTTACTCTTTTAATCAATTCTTTTAAAATTGCAAAAAATACATACTAAGCCACTCTCAGTTTCTCCTTCAGTTTCATAGATATCTTCTAGCTTTAAAAGATAAAATATATTAACAATCATGCAAGGAAAATATTATTTAAATGCATGCAACATGATATCAAACCTCTCTTTTTAGGAAAAACTTTGTTCAATCCCTTTGATGATACTGACATATCTGAATATGATATATGATTACCTTTAGCCCCTATAAATTCAACTTCTTATTTCATCTGATGTTCGAAATTGAGGAAATAAGAAAATCTAAATGTGAAATTATGTCTCCTTTTTAAAAGAAATTATGCATTTTCACTACAAACACAATCCAATCTTCACACCAAAATTTTTAACCAGTATATTTGTAAAAGATATCAGCATAACTATTCATTTAGCTGAAGATTTTCAAAAATTAACAAATTTCCACTG